CCAAACTAAAAATAATAATTTATTCTTTATAAACTTACAAGAATATCTTTAATAATGAATTCCTATCTCCATTTCAATACATGGATATGATTGGTAGAATTAAAGAACACATTAAATGAGATATGAGACGAAATGTTATGACCCAATCAGGCACTAAATAAAATTAATAAAATGAACGTCGTAACAAATGATCAAGTTCTTTTCATCTTATCTCAAAACAGGCTCATACACGATGTTTTGAAAAGAACGACTACCAGAAAACCTGCTATGAATTAATGAAGACACATACATTCATTTCTTCTGACATAAAAATAAAATGAAATAAAAATGCAATGAAGTGTCGTTGTAAAGAAACTGCATTTTATTTATTAAAAGAAAAAAAAACAACATTGTATTATAATTGTTTCTTTTTATCAAAATGCATTTTTTTACCAAAATGCAACGCGTTGTCTGAATTGGTATTAAAAAGTCACCACGTTTTTTTTTATAAAATATGCTTATATCTTCAAAAGCGATTCAATTTGCATCACAATCATAAAAAAAAAAAACAAATCTGTGTACAATGCCTGTTAATCATTTATTAACTGGTATATATAATTCATGCAAAATGCTTAGTGAACAAACAAAAGCGGTATGGCTTCAAAGAAATTTAGACGTTTTCAATGATACACCTGATGTAACATAGATCTTTTAACTCAATCTACGTTTACCTTGATTTCACAAAGCGAAACAAAATATTAAAAAATACCAAATTGAATATATGAACAGAGCAAACACCCTGTTTTATTAATACAATTATTGAACAGAAAATATTAAAGGTCCTTTGTGCCCTTATTTTTATTCCTAAATACCATTTTGATTTGGGTGTACTTTTATAATTTCCAAAAATTACAGCATTGACCAATCACCTGAATCATATTTTGCGTCTGTTACTTTTCTTGGAATAGTCAATTAGAATAATTCAATATTTTGTATGAAAGTCCAAATACTACCTTCATTGCATTTTGCTATTTCGTGACAATTTATGTCTCCTTCTGTGCTTCTCTTTTCAGGTAATAAGCATCTACCATGCTCTAAACATTATTAAAACTCATGTTTGCTCTTTCTAAATAAGGAAAAATGCATTCGTTCCTGAGGAATTATGTGAAACGCTAAAAAGAACGCTAAATAATTTAAATTCATATGAAATTTTATAAATAAGATCAAGTTACCCACAATATCAATCATTCAAGTAAATTTACCATTTTACGCCTGTCATAATATTTTCATCAAATTTTGTCATTTATCTTAGTCCTTAATAAGGATTCATCCGAATCCAAATTCAAAAATGTGATTACTAATTCCAATTTGACATAACTCAGACGATAAAGATTATATAAAAATAACAAGAAACCATATAAAGGTTATTCTAGACCTAGACGTTTGGTCAAAGATAAGCAATGCGCATTTCTCAGCGGCCGATTTAAGGTTTCAAGATCTTTGCCAAATGAATAAAAGTCCAATATTGAGTTGTGTTATATCATGTGATAAACATTATTATAATACAAGAAATAAGGAAGGTTCTGGTATAAAAAAGTAATGATAAATGGCCAATGTACAAGTATAAAGATGAATAAATACCCACAAATGTGGCAACAACACATTAAACGAAGCCTGAATTATTCTGTTTAACATAATTATAATAACATCCTATCCTAGTGCCATTTCGTTATTTACATCGATAATGTCTTCTTCAATCGCCCCTTGTAAAGTACCAGTTGACATTGCATTGCGTTTTCTTTGCTTTAAGCTTGTGACTATTTTTCTACAAATTATGATATATGGTCAAGATGTTACTATGACATGTTTGGTTAAAAATACTAAAATATTGTAAAACTATGATGGATGGTTTCATAGTTAAATTGCGTGCTAAAAACTATTGATACGTTCTAGGTATTGTTGGACAAAGTATAACAAATTATCCAGCGTTCCAATCCTTAAAAAACAGAACAAAGTCTTTTATTTTTTTTTTTTTTTTTTTGGTATTGTATGATATCTAATATGCTACGTCACATTAATTCACACGTAATTCAAATGGTGTTATACTAGCTTTATCATTTTAAAATTGATTTAAATACTAAATTTAAAAATTACTGTAATAGTATAGAACATATGATGCAACTATTAAATGCAGACGCATTTCTATTGCACATTAACATTTGTTTTGTAAATGCATGGTAAAACACAACGATAGCTTTTCTTTTATGAATATGAAGACAAAAACACATATTTCCATCGATATATTGTGCTATAATAAACTTTTGAGAATTACAGAGCTACTTTTGATTTTCAAAAAAAAAAATGGAATTAATTGGGAGATTGTATTTTAATGGAATATATCAATGGTAAATTGAAGGTAAAGATAACAAAGTACTTAGCACTAAACTTTCATCAGACATAACTAAGGACTGGAGAAAACTCACAACGACATTAATGACATTCTATAAATGATTTTAAAAAACAACCAAAACAAACGAGTGTAGATATTTGATTGTATCCTTTTCGGCAATACTTGACTTAAAATGAAACAGTATAGTAAATGTTATATTCACAAACGTGAATCTGTTAACTTATGGAATAAATAAGACAAATAAACAATTTCGCGCTAAAAGTTCCTGAATAGTTTTTAATGGTCAGTTTTTATTAAAATGCTTATCACATCAAGTTGAATGTTTCTAACATTTTCAGATTTTACACAATTTTCAATGTTCACTTTGTTATGGGTTTTGAGTATACATGATTTTAGTCAGATGGCAATAATTTCGATTTGTACATGATAATGACACCTTCACCTGTGCTTTAGGTATGAGAAAGTTTTGTTGTTGTTGTTGATTCATGTGTACCGAATACTAAGAATGATGAAGTGGACCATGTCATAAAACAGACTTTGAATATCAAACAATCCCACCACGTTGTGACCGACGACAACAAGATTTAATTCTAAACGGACTGCATCAAATTTCAATACATCAAGCATATTATGTCTTCTAAATAAACTCAATAAAAGCAATTCTGTAATTTCTAAATAATACTTTTGTTTCATTGTTTCCCCCGTTTGAAGATCTTTGTTTCATAAAGGAAACGCATTGGTCGATGTTCGAAAAAAAAACTTAACATATTTTACAGAAATAAATCGTAAATTTAAAACCTAATTATCAATTTCTTTTCAAAAATATGATCTGCGTATGATTTTTATTGAAAAATGTACCATGAAGAATAGATATATTTTGAACTGAAACCAATTTCGGATACCTTCATTAGGTTGGTCTTCCGCGGGAATGAAATGTTTTATGGTTGCATTAAATATATTTTATCATTGTTGATTATATCAATGAAAATCAATTATGATTTCCCCTATCCTTCATTATCCATTTTAACAATAATTGAATGACTCTTAGCACGAAATTTAAACATTGTCTAGGAATGAAATAAAACATCAATATAAATATTGTGTACACTATTTTTTATGTATCGTTTGAATACAGAAGATATACAGTCAATATAAGGCTGAATATGAATCTAAACAAATAAACCATCAATTAAGTGTTTTAATGTTTCCAAGGTCATTTAAAAGGACGGGTCATAAACCACTTAAGATTCTTTTTTTTCTATCACGCGTAATCATACATTTGATTACTACGTCATATGTTTTCGCGAAATATCGCAATCAAACCTTTGAAGATTTTGCAACTGGCGGATACTATAAACGTGTTCTTACATTGTCTTATAGAGTCACTTTAATGTTTACCCTTGAACGAATATAATTACTAGAATGCGGAGCTTCAAAGTAAATTGCCACAAATAAATAATGTTAAGTGTAAGAATACTAAGCAGCTCCCAAATGTAAATCATTTTAGGACTTTATATTAAGTTCATTTTATTACAACAAAGATTTTATTGTTGTTGTTGTTGTTAAGAAATTAGAAGTAATTTTGGTAATTCGGAAGTATGAGGTTATAGTCCCACGTTGAATAGAGTTTAAAGATCCTGTATGTTTTGTGATTGATATTGTTACTGTATGTATACCACACTTGCAAAAAAATATATATGTATATAATTATGCAAATAAAACAATTTTCAAACATCGAAGAATATGTAAAATGTGTACTGCAAATATTTGTGCACATTATATTTAATTAATAGATTACATGCATTAATTTCTGAATGGAAAATTTGACTTAGAATTCATAGAAAATAAATTTCTAATTACCTCCCTTTATCTGCATGAAATGTTAAATTGGGTAATATTTTTATAAATAATGCTTATTGGAACTTACAATATTGACAAATCTTAATTTGAGCATCATATTTATGAAATAAAATCATGAAAAAATCGTGTTTCAGGATCTTTAATTGTACAATAAAATGTAAACATTGCAAAGTAGGAACACTTTCACCGGGCAATGCGTTCCATTAATAATAAAAATAAGTAGGTAAAGCTGAATTACAGTTTCATTATTAGCATCTCTCACAATGTCATTTCGAGTAGATTGAGATTTATTCAAATTGTTTAACTCGAAGCGGGGCTTTCATGGGACGAACTAGTGGGATAATGATAATATAAGTAATAGAAAGAGCATCGAAACACGAGGTGTTCTGATTTGTATGAAGGGCGTAACTTTATAAGGACTGTTTGTCACCGACATTTAGGTTGCATGGAAATTCTTTTGGTTCACTTACACTTACTGCACTTTCATATAAAGTATGTTTAAAATCGTTTGCTAATATTGACTTTGTTGCAAATACCTTTCACTTTTTTTTAATTTCTTACTTCATGTATAACTTGTTATGACACTCATGGGAAGACATTTTATATATAAAGTTATTTTTCAAATAGGATAACCTATCACCCGATTAGTACATATGAATTTATTTACCGCATTAACACACAATTTAAAAGAAAATGACATAAGACTAATGTATTTATCTGCACGACCATACCTCTAATTTGAATGATAAAACACTGTCTTGTTTAAATAATGTGTTAGAAATAAATCATAACTCATGGTTAAGAAGAATATACATGAAGCAAAGGAGCATTTTATAAAATACGTTTCAGTTGGAGAAACAATGTTTTGTATTTGCACGGATATTTGTAGATCAAATGTGGATATCTCTTTTTACCATGTTTTTGCTCATGTAGTTCCTGAAATATTTGCCTGATTGATTCTTCAAATATGGAAAACGGGTAAGAATTTGCTAATGTTTATATTAATCAACATTCAGCTGTTTTAAACCATAGATGCTTTTACAATGATCCATTTCTGATAAAGTGTTATAAATCTCAATGACTTCTACAAAAAATTACCATACCTCCATAACGTAAATCAGATATTCATATATTCATGCATGTTGTTTTAAAGCTTAAACAATTTTCTGCATAATATTGTAACAGAAATTTTAAACATTTCAGAGAAAAATGGATTTTCTTTGGCGTGGCATATACGCTTTGTGTACTAGAATTTGGCTTCGTGTTTTCATTTGGAGCTCTACTTCCTTTACTACTTGAAACCTTTAGTACGGATAGATTCACTGCATCCTTGGTGCAATCTCTTTTAATAGGTGTTGCATCATGCTTTTGTAAGTTTTCTTTTTCTTTTTTTTTACCAAAACTATTTCATAACTTATTCAATTATTCTTAAAATGTTTTGCAAGAATACAATTTCTTTTGTAATGTATGTCAAATATCAAACTTGAAGTGAAATGATTTTGATGATTTAAATATTTTTATCTTTCTCAGGTATAGTAAGTGGAATTTTAATCAACAAATTTGGATTTCATGTCGTGGTACTATTATCGAGCGTTCTGGTATCAACAGGATTTTCCGTTTCATTCATCATCACAGACATTTGGTATTTGTATGTAACTGTTAGCATTATGGCAGGTAAACAATATCTTGTTTGTTGAGATTAAGCGTTTTAAAATGTAATCAGTATATGTTATGTCGTCAATGCAATTGGCCGTGCTTTTTTTAAATTTAAAGAGTAGGAGGTTTTCAGACAGTTAATTGATACTTCATTGACATATTTCGGGGACTAGAATACACATATTAATATTATACTACATAGAACACAAAACAAGTAATCTGCTGCGATTTATCATATAATTTACTTTGGTCAGGAACAGCAATAAATCCATAAAAATGCATACAAGGGGCATATTTAATCACAAGTGCACTTTTGTGAGGATACCATTTATCTTGTCATGCTTGAATGCCTTGAATATATAAACCCCGTAATAATGATGCATCTCAAACAGAAATAACGTTGTTTTTTTAAACAATTATATTTATCTAATCTTATTGTTAAACGCTGAAATATGTATTGATATTGTAGGTACTGGTATTTCAATGATTCATGTAACTTCCATTACACTTGTGAGCAAAATCTTCGATGGAAAACAAAGACCTTTTTGTCTGGCAATGCTTGGAACCGTTGTCCCATTTGCGGGAATATTTTATCCTTATTTCTTAGAATTAGTATCGACTAAGTATGGCTTAAACGGAACATTGTTACTGATCGGTGGGATTTTTTCTAACAATTATGTCTTCTTTGTCATGTTATGGTTTCGTCGAAATGTACTTACTCAGGAAATAGAAAGAGACCCAGGATATGAAAATGTTGAACGTATGGCAACACACAACTCCAGGACAATGAATCTATCTTTAATGTTCAAAGAAATAGCAACAGGTCGGATTATCTGCCTTCTTTTATCTACCTCAATAGTCTTATCTTCATTAAATGGATTTTTAAGTTTTGCTTTTGACATCGCTAAGTGGAAAGGATTTCAGAACGCAGAGGTTAATCTGCTTTTTGTTATTCATAATATCGCGTCTTGTATTTTAAGCCTCGTTCAAGGTATAATAAGGCAACACATTGAAATAGATTTATATTTGTATCCGATTGGGTTTGCTATTTTGGCAACAGCAGGGGGTCTTTTATTACTTTTAGGGGAAAAGTTTGCTGTTTTTGCAGTAGGAATCGCACTTTTAGGATCTGTGGAATGTATCCTGTCTTCTGCTAACATTATTAGCGTTCATTTAGTGTGTTCACAACAGATCGATGTAGTAATTGGAACTATGCAGACATCTATTGGTTTTCTTTCAATCTTCATTGGACCTCTGTTTGGTAATTTTATAATCTATTTAGCTATATGTAAAAACAAAAGACATAATCTTTGGTATATTCACTATTTGTATGGTTATTAACTAATTAATACTGTTATGGTAAAATGTATTTTTAAATATTTTTGTAAAGTGAAAGTAAAACAAGCATCATTTGAAAAACATCAGCAAGTTTTTTGTTTCTTTCTCTTTTGGTAGAGAAATAGACAGCAATGAGGGTAATCCAAAACTGACCAAAATTAACTATTTAGATACTTTGCTGCCGTTAGATAAAGACTGAGATATTTGCTCAAACATGTATTTCACAAGTTAAATAATATGCGAAAACACAAGTATCTAACAAATAGTAATATGAAATTAATACTTTCTATTCTTAATCATGTTTAATAATTGAAAAATTGTAAAAAAAAAACAAAGCAAAAAATCTTAGACGTGTAAGGCCACAAACATGTCAGCTATTGAAAATTACAGCTTACAATAACACTTTGAGCTCTTTTGAGCAGAAATAGTAAAAGATCTTAGATTTTAGTTGAATTTTAGGTAATTTAGGTATTGATCAAAACATTTTTTTCATTTTATAGGTACTATAAGGGACAATTCTGGATCTTATGACGGCTGTTTCCTGGTTTTAATTGGTACTCAGGCTTGCTCTGCAATACTGTTTGTTGCTGATTTCATTTTAAGAAACCGGAAAGAAAAATCAAACGTCGAGATTGTTGTCACAGGACCCACAGAAGTACGAATGTGATAAAAAGCTGTTTGAATATTGATCATAAGTTATGTAGTTTATAGATATGGTTTTGTAGTATTGAATGTTTCTGTTGTTGTTTCTTTCAGAAGTTATTATTATTACAAGCAAATAAGAGTTGCTAGGGGGCGTGAGGTATGTCGCACGTTTTCAGTATCCCTCATGTACAGACTCAATCAAACCAAGTCTGCAATTCTCTTGTAATTTTGATGGGATTAATGCTTCCGAGGGATTACTTTGTTTCCAGATTTTTGAATATTTGCAAATTTACACCATAACTTCAAAATCAAAACTATAGATAAATGTTGCATTATTGATCGAGTGAAATTGTACTGTATGTGCATTTTAAATTGATAAATCAGAAAATTTATCACTGTTATAGGAAAGCAATCTATTGAAACTCAAGTAACAATTTAACAATAAGAAATAATATTTTGCTTTCATTGTCTACAAAACCTAAAGTATAGCTTTTAATATAGACTTTTATATACGAAAAAAATGATTTTCAAATCAGGCACAGAGAAACATCCCCATAAGTTCTCTTTTAATAAGATTGATAGTAAAGGTACAATGTCGTAGCAAATAAGTTTAGCTTAACGTCAATGGTAAATCATTCTTTGAGAGGAGATGTACGACAATAGTAAATAGGACTGCATGTTACATAAGGGCCGTGGATCAAACTACTACTGAAGTCAAGGGTACAATTTTAAATACAAAAATCAAGTAGGAAACTGTCACGAGAATGGTTTAAATAAGCTTCGCACTTTCATTTCAATACAATACATTCTAACTTGTTCTATATTTTAAATAATGCAAAGTACATGCATTTAAATGTATTACACATGTAATAATGCATTTAAAAATAAATATCTCATCCAAATCGTTATTGTTTGACACACATGTTGTTTAACCAACATCTATAAAATGTTAATTTTAGTATATACGACAAAAAAAACAACAATGCCACCAAACACATGACACTTTCTTACGTGTTTAAGGTGTTGCTGAAATCGAAATAATAAGTACAATATATCAATGTTAATGATTCCAAAATTATTCAATAATTATTGTCAAATCATATGGCAGACACAATGTTAACAGTTCCAATATTTCCAATAACAAAAGAAGAACTATTTAGGTAATAATTGTACAAATCAACGACGCAAGCTAAACCCTCTTTGGAATTGTATATAAACAGTTCACAACAATAATGACTAGCCGTATCAAATGACATTGTTGTTCCGGCGACAATTTTAACAATAAAAACATCAAATTGAAAGACAAGATAGTTATTTTATGATAAAAAAATGCGGTTTAATTGTTGTTTAAAAGAAAGGACGCCAGTCAGACTTGCTTTTTGAGGCAAGCGTTAGCTATTTGTTAGTTAACAAGATTTTGTATGTGATATAAATATAGCAAAAATAAAATGCTGTTAAAACCTATCGGACATAAGAAGAGCAAGTCACGCCAGATTCTCTTTCTTATTACAAAGCTTTATATGGTATTTAAACTGTCTTGTTTATTATTTAAAATATTTTGTGACCAAAAGCATGACTTTATAAACTAGAAACTAAATGAATAAATAAAACTTCTTTATAAAATTCAAAAAATGCTACCCTGATTAATTTTACGAATTTCTTTCTAACAAATGAAGGTCATTTTAATCATAACACAACACATTCACCTTGAGCTTCTTGTAATTCTCATACACGTCTAAATAGTATTTACAGATAAGGGTCGCGGTTTAAAAAGTTTTTTTAAATAATATTTTTTAAATTATAGTTTTAATAATATTTGAATAAATTATTCTGAATATTTAAGAGCTATACGTTGTGTAAATATCTCTTTGCCAGTTTTATTCTTAGAGACGTTTAAACTAAATATAACAAATATTTGTCCTTTAATGTAAATTAATGCTGTGTTGTACATGTATTAACACATATTTAACATCCTAATTCAGCTCCTACAATTCCCTTGGTTACAAATCTTGACAACAAAAATTTTAATCAAGTTACGACTGAAGAAAATAACTATGTCATTCCTCCATTGAGAAAAATGGTTTTTCAAAAACATGCCAATTCAAGATATTTATTCTAATGCATTGCACTCAAAAATGTGCTTTATCAATTTGAAAATAAAAATGGTTTTATTAAGAGAAAGATGATAAATCGATCAGTTCTGGGAAATAAAGTTGTCTACGACAGCTGTTATGCAATAAATTAGCTAATTTGTCAATACAAAAATTGTTAAACTTTAAGCCATCAAATACCAAAACAATTGGCTTGTTAATTAAGCAAAAACTCAATATCAACGTACGGTAAGTTGAGATGAAGAAACGGAATCAGAATGATGAACTAAATAAAAAATGGATAATTAATGACTTTCTTTTTAATCTTATCCAAAGTTTGGATGAGTGGCGGTAATTTGTACTTAAAAGTATCGTCTATGAATAGGCTCAATCAAACAGATCCAGCGATATTTTCATTTATGCCTTGTCTTGGATGTTTCTTAGGGCTCCATTCTTCTCTGTTATTTGTGGTTCGATAATAAATGAAATATATCAAATTATCATTATATTGTTAACGTAAAGCCGTCATCTTTATCATATTTTAATTTATGTTTTATATTATGATATACATGTATGGCCCGATATAAACGGTTCTTTACAACAACCGATTATATGCGCGATTTCTTCATAAATCGACAGCAGTCGTGTATATGAAACTATAGTTTTAATATAATTATAGTTTTAATAGTAACATAAGTTTTGTAGTTTTAGTGTGTTCGTAAGGAATTTCGTTTTTCTCTATTTTCATGTCTTTATTTATAAGTATTAACAATTTTACATTATTGTACAGAAAATGTGTTTTTAAGATTGCGATGCAATGTGGTGTTATACTTTTTAGAAAATATATGTATGAAATTTCTAAACAAAAATTTCTCAGTGCATACATAGTCCGAGATGAAAAAAATCATTAGGTTGTCTATTATTTACAGTTTATATTTATTTATTCAATTCACAGATCACTCATAGACGCGGTGTTTCAACAAAGTTGCATTTTTATGCATTATCTGTCATCTTGTGTAAATTACAGTGACATGATCTGTAAAACATTTAAAACAATAATGCAGTTTATGCTGAAGAATGAATGAAACTAGTTATTTTCTGAAACTTTACATAATTAGTATTGACATAATCTGAACCGATTAAACGAAATTTTGCGAAAGAATTTGAGAAACATTGAATTGATAAGAATAGAACGCTCGGAAACTTATAAAGATGTTTTCCTAGGGAATACTTATGACCTATTATATTGTTTACACTAAAAATTTAGCTTACCTTTTTAAAGTTGTCCTAATTTTAAGATGTCGTATTGTTGCGGCGCGGTGACTTGAATGAATGGATAAGTTTTTATTATTTTTTATCATCTATTATTGTGTTAAATTTTCGACCTTTTCAATTATTTTTTGTTTTGTTTTCTCATTGGTCTGATGTCTACCCTTTCCAGTTTTAATATACGGTATCTAACTTATTGACTGTTGATATATTGTTTTGTAATCTTCATGCGTTTGTCGCACAATTTATAACTTTGTTAATTTAAGTAGAGACACATGAACACATAAAATACATGTATTGCATCTAGTCAAGTTTCTTCTTTATAAATTAATAGCAAGAGCATTATTTTCCAAATAAAGAAGTGTAATCAATTTCAATATCTTTGATAGTTCAAATACCGATGTTTGACAAATATAAAATCGATGATTGTGCACATTTTGCATTGAAACATTCAATTAACCATCTTTGTTTTGAAATAACTTTGAATTAAAAGTTATCTAAGCGGAAAAATATATAAATGTTTATTAACCATGTTACAAAATTTAAGTATAGTTGCGATACAGTGAAAAATGCTAAACGTGATGATTCAAAGGTTGATCCGATCTGGGCATTAAGTGACAGTTTTACCTCACTGAACCCTTTCGTCACGATGGATAAATTTTATTTTGATTTTTCAACTTAAATGAATGATCAGTTATGTACATCATTTTAAACTTTTGAACGAATTACACATTTGCTTACAAAAAAGATTTAGTTATTAGCATTTAATCATGCGAAACAGATAGCAATAATACTTGTTGACCAGTGTTTTAACTCTGAAACTGAACAAATTTATCTATGAAAAATTCAACTTTTAAAATGCTCTATAAGTATAATGTATTACAATTTCGCTGCAAAATTTTATGTAAAGATTGCTAGGTAACTCAAACAAACCTAATCCTGCTCTTGTTTGACTACTAACATTTCGCCGTATATAAATGAAACTTAAGCAAATTGAAACTTAAGCAATAATGAACGAGCATTGCATGCAATTCATACTTTATACTGACATCGTCCTGATGCAAAATGATTCTCTTTTAAATAAATCAGCATATATTACATACTATGAAGCAATTTTCAAAACTTTAATGATAAATTCAAACAAAGCAATTTAATATTTGGTCCGTCTTTTATTTGTCCAAATCGTTATGGCTGTAAAATATATTTAGTGCAGATCTTTTGTAAAAAAAATGAACAGACATTTTACTATTTTCATTATTTTTTTTTACCATTGACCCTGCTCTCACAAATAATGTCTGAGAAAGGTACATTGCTTATCTTCAAACATTTTCTTATCTTAAAACATTTTATTATCATAATTCGCTTAATTGTTTTCGGCCATGAGAAGCGAAAAACATGTCAAATGCTACAGACAACGGCATAGAGACTTGCTTTATAGGCTTTTAATGCTAAAATCGCTACAGTAAATTAATACGTTATTGGTCATATCTATTTTATTAATGTATCATAAGTAAGAGGTAATGTATTAAAAGAAAGTAAAGCAAGAAAATCTCTAATATTTCATTTTTTTATGAGACATATATTCATCGAAACAAAAATTATCATCCTTTGGATTCTTGAAAATGAAAGATATATTGCTAATGGTAGATAGAATGTGTACAAGAATGGCAAAGCTAAAACAGGAAAAAGAAAAAAAAATAGAGACACAGTTTTTAAGCATGCTCAAAAACCATAGCCGCTGCGGTAAATGGATCAGCGAAGGTTCGTCTAGTATATTCGTTCAAAATGTTATAAAATAATGCATCGAATTACAAAGCTTCAAATAATCTGAACACATAGCTTGACTATCATAGTTACACTTTTTAAAAAACGTTCCACATTAATTTATAAAGTTCTAAATTGCCTTTGTTCTTGAATGAAGATTTAGCAGGATGGAAACGAAATGAATAATAAAGGATAATCAGTAACAGAAAACTTGATGAGATTACTTTTATTCGTTTCCTTGACATTGCTTAAGAATTCCATTGAAAAAAGTGGTGTTCGGACACTGAACTTGGCAAATAAACAATAATAAACGTATAGAATTAGACAGATCCCAATTTCTGTTTCAAATAAGCAATCACCTATATACAGCAATATTTAATCAAAAATAAGTTCCATTATATTCACCACACGCCATTCCAATTTTATGAGTATATATGAAATATCTCTCGAAACAAATGTCAATGTTTTGTATTAAACAACACTTTCCAAAAGAACTTTGGTCAAACAGTTTCTGTTAATATATTGACGAGATATCATGCTTTTTTACCATTGCTTTTCGGTTGTGTTGTTTTTTCTACCAGCCAAAGATCTTTTGATTCAGCCATATACATGTTCATTCTGTCTTCAGCTTAAGTAGGGTAGAAAATCGTCATCCTCGTCAAAGACCCGGTTTAGTAGATTTAATAATTTCTCCTGAATTATCAGAGCCGTTATCGATTAAGCACAAAAAATCAACCAGCTACATTGACTCTTTTACGCCTATAATATTTGTTTCTACACCAAAGTATGTCACCTAAGTTATCAATAAAGTTTCACCCCTAAGAAATTGGATAATCGATTGATCAAGATAACGTTGGA